TTTCGGAATGCCTCATTTCCACTTTATTATCGCTTTTTGGCCCACGTGGGATAACGTCCTAGGAGCAGCCACCAAGAAGGCCCTCTCCTGTGTCCTCTGTGATGGTGGTGGGACTGAAAGAAAGCCCTCCTTGAAGACCTTAAAACTCAGGTAGGATCACATAGGGAGACACGGTCTTTCACGTTTACCCATCATGGGTGGCTTTTCAGCGCTCAAGAGAGGCTACCAGAGACTGGAGGGAAACCTACCTGCCTTTGAGGACCTGGAAGGAGCAGCCCGGGCCGTGATGCGCTTACAGGACGTCTACGCTTTGAACGTCAAGGAACTGGCCAAAGGAAGGTTTCAGAGGAATAGCGACATCCCCCTTCCGGACATATACAGCCCAGGGCAGGACTTCTCGTTGTCGGCTGATGACTGCTTCCAGATTGGCAAGGTGAGTAGGGAAACCAGAGCCTCATTCCCACTTACATTTAAACCGGTTTGCGATTCGCTTTCGCTCCGCGTCGGTGAATCGGTTCCAAAAGGTCCGTCGTTCCCACTATGAAAGCGGATCTTTTCATTATTCCCTTGTCATCGCTTCTTTTTTGGGGGCACGATTGTCCTTCCCACTCGTTTGCGCCACTTCCAAATGCGCGTCAGTTGTCTGCGCATCATCGGTGACGCAAGTGGCAATGACGGGGCCGTTCCTCTTTTTTGCGCACCATCATCAGCCGTGGGGAAAGTTGTGGGGAAGGGAGGGAAATCGCCCATGGGTCACACCGCAAAGCAAAGGCAGCGCTGAGAAAATGGCTGATTTCCCAAAAACTGAGTCGGGATGGTAAACACCCCTCTGCCATTATTCCCTCCTCTCCAGAATGATGGGATTCAGATCCGTCGTTCCCACTTGTTGAACACGCTTCGGAATCGATTCTTTTCAAAAGAACGTCTGAAAAACTAGTGTCAGGAAACAGCGGGTTTTTTGGGTTTGCCTCGCTTTGTCGCGACGGAAACCGAGCGCAATTGGATCGAAACCTATTGGTTTCAAATGGGGAGTGAGGCACACATAACCTGATCAGCAATTCGAGTTTAATCTCGAATAGTGGTAACGAGGCCCAGGTTACCTAGAAAAGGACTAGATTTTGGCTGGGTAGAATGTAGAATTTTCCGATTTCAGGGACTGGTTTTTCTTCTCCTGTTCTCAGGGTGAAGGGAGGAATCTCAGGAGGAGAGCATTGTCTTGGAAAAAACCACGTATTTGTATTGTTGTGTGCCTTCAAGTTATTTCCAACATATGGCAACTGGTGTAGTGGTTTGAGCACTGGACTAGGACTCTGGAGACCAGGGTTTGAATCCTGGCTTGCTCAAGGTCCCTACTGGGTGACCTTGGGCAAGTCACACTCTCTCAGCTTTGAGGAAGGCAAAGACAAACACCACCACCCCAATATGGCGAGAAAACCCAGTGATAGGGTTACCATAAGCTGGAAACAACTTGGACACACAACAACAACAAGGTGAACCTATCATGGGTTTTTCTTGGCAAGATTTCTTCAGGGATGGTTTTGTTATTGGCATCCCAGTGGGTTTCCATGCACAAGTGGGGATTCGAACTCTGGTCTCCCAGGTCTTAGTCCAACACTCAAAACACTACACTATATTATGCAGTGTATTCTTGTCCCAAGAGCCAGTGTGGAGTAATGGTTTGAGTGTTGGACCACAAGACTAGAGTTCGAATCCCCACTTGACCATGGTCGCCCACAGGACAAGTCACACTCTCTCAGTCTCAGAGGGAGACAAAAGCAAACCCCCATCTGAACAAATCTTGGAAAGCATGCCAGGTTCACTTTAGAACAGCCCTTTGAAATCTTACTTTTTCCATTCATATGTTTACCAGATTTTCCCACTCCCTGCCAGCATGCTCTCTGGAGGGATTACCGTAGTCCAAAAAAATCCCATTTTCCCCAGATTTTGGAATAAACCTTACTTTGTACAGCAAAAAGTAATCCAAATCCTATTGTTCGTCCCAAATAGAGTAGACCCATTAAATCAATAAGATTTCCATATGACGCACCTTATAGCAATTGATTCGATAGGACTAACCAGCCAGGGTTCACACCAGTATAAACTGATGGTGCATCCAGAACGATTAAAAACACCAGAAAATCCCAGATTTTGTTCCTGTCCTTTCCAATTTTATTTTGGAGATCCATATACAGTACATTTTGTTTATCCCAAAATATTTTCTGTCAGCTCCTAGTATGACTGGAGACTTTTCATTCCAGATCTCTATCTTGGACTATTTTAACCCATTATAACATTGGAAAGAGCTCTCTGACAGATAAGGCTAAATACTACTAGCAGTAGTAGTCTTTATTTATAGAGCGCTGTAAATTTTGCACGGTGCTTTACAGAATCAAAACAGCATAAAACCTGCCAAAGGCATACACTCTGAAATCACAAAATACAAGAATTGTAAATAAACAATTTATCCCATTAAAACAACTGGAGACAATAAAACAACCGATAAATAATAAACCCTTGTCTGAAGTACTCAAAGATATCAAGCTGCAGCCTGGAATGCTTCTGTGAACAAAAAAAAAAAGTATTTCGTTCGGACTTAAAAAATTGACCAGGAGCGGCAAAGGAGAAGGGGCGAAATAATAATAATAATAATAATAATAATAATAATAATAATAATAATATATTTATATCCCGCCCCTCTGCAAGCAATCAGGGCGGCTTACAGCATTAAAATTAAGCATAAGCTTATAGGATCATAGGATCATAGTTGGAAGAGACCCCAAGGGCCATCCAGTCCAACCCCCTTCTGCCATGCAGGAACTCACAATCATAGCATCCTTGACAGATGGCCATCCAGCCTCTGTTTTAAAACCTCCAAAGAGGGTGACTTCACTACTTTCGAAGGCATCGTATTCCACTATCAAACACCTCTTACTCTCAGGAAGTTCTTCCTGATGTTTAGGTGGAATCTCTTTTCCTATAACTTGCATTGATTGTTCTGGATCCTATTCTCTGGAGCAGCAGAAAACAAGCTCGCTCCATCCTCAGTATGACATCCCTTCAAATACTTAAACAGCTTACAATACAAAAATACCTCACTGCACTACAAACCCCAGAATTCCATAGCATTGAGCCATGGCGGTTAAAGCAGCGTCAAACTGCGTTAAGTCTGCAGTGTAGATGCGACCTCAGTCATCTCAATTCTTCCAGGTGGCCTATGACATGGAGGATTACTATCATTCCATCTTGTGGATGGAGGAAGCCGCCAGGCTTTTCCGCCTCTCCTACGGAAACTGGAACACCGAGGACGAAGGCAGTCTTGAAGATGCCTTGGACCACTTGGCCTACTCCTACTTTAAGGTGAGACGGGTGGCGTAACGTTTGGGATCATCCAATAACAGCAAAATCCCACCAAACAGCAATACCTTTATTGGAAGATGTTGGTCAAAAATCATGCATTCGCGATTAACATTTTCCCACGACGTTGCGTCCAAAGTGCGATTATCCCGGGAATATCCCAGGATAATCGCGCAGTTGCGCTAATGGTTTTCACATGATGTCGCGACGAAAAGCGATTAAAGTGCCATTATCCCATGAATAACCAGGCAATAAACAGCAACAAATCATTCACAGGGATTTTCCCACGAATGATATTTTTTGCTGTTTGTTGCCTGGTTACTCCCTGGTTATTCCCAGGATAATGGCTCTTGTGTGTGAAAATGTTGATTGCATTTTAATCTCTACCCCTCCATTTACCATCTGAACTGAGAACATAAGTACCACGGCAAGTTAATCCAATTCTGATTGTTGGCTCCCATACATTTTCCCTTACTGGGCTTGATTCTGGATTTGCTGAAGCTGAGCCCTGCACCTCTGCTCATGTGCAGAGTGCATTCTTCCTCCATCACTGTGTAACTATGGGCCTTTGCAGACTGCCAGAAATAGTGTAAATTGAGTCCACTTTAAATTGAGGCACTGCCCTGGCTCAGTGCTAGGGAATCATGGGAATTGTATTTTTTTCTAAGACATTGAGCCTTCTCTGTCAGAGAGCTCTGGTGCCACAATAAAATACAGTTCCCATGATTCCCTAACCCTTAAAGTGGACTCAATTTGCACTATTTCTGGCAGTCTGCAAAGGCCCTATGTCCCTTTTTAAGTCAGTGGAGCGATTTATCTGACTTGAAAAAAACATTAAAGACCAGTCTTTTCTGGCAGGTTTATCCAGATGATTTTTAAATTGTGAATTTTAAATGAATCTTTAAATGTGGATTGCTTTAATATGTGTATATCTTGTGCTTTTAAACTGTATGTATGTCTTTTTAAATTGATGTGTATTTTAACTGATGTGGTGTGTCTTTTTAATTGTTGTTGTTCCCTGCCTCGATCCACGGGGAAAAACAGATTAATAATAATAATAATAATAAAATTTGTTAATGGATATTTTAATTATATGTCATTTAATACTGTTTTATTGGGAGATGGGATATTTGGGAATTTGATGTATGTATTTTCTTTTATTGTAAGCCGCTTGGATTGATTTAATTAAGCGGGATATAAATAAATTTTATTATTTATTATTATTAATAATAATAATGTAATTAATTAAAGGTGCAGGAGCCCCATCCTGTTTTTTTCACCTGGCAATCCTATTTGCAAAATTCACATAGGATAGCCATTTGAAAATGAGTAGCAGCTCCCATATCTTTAATAATAATAATGTAATTAATTAAAGGTGCAGGAGCCCCATCCTGTTTTTTACCTGGCAATCACATAGGGTTGCCACTTGAAAATGAGTAGCACCTCTTATATCTTTAAGAATAACAACAACAACAATTTAATTAATTAAAGGTGCAGGAGCCTCATCCTGTTTTTCACCTGGCAATCACATAGGATAGCTACTTGAAAATGAGTAGCAGCTCCTATATCTATTATTATTATTATTATTATTATTATTATTATTATTATTATTATTATTATTATTATTATTATTATTATTATTATTATTTAATTAATTAAAGGTGCAGGAGCCCCATCCTGTTTTTCACCAGGCAATCCTATTTGCACAATGCACATAAGATAGCCAGCCACTTGAAAATGAGTAGCAGCTCCTATATCTATTATTATTATTATTATTATTATTATTATTATTATTATTATTTCGTATCTGCTTCTCCCCAAGGATCAAGGTGGAAACCAACAACAATTCACAGGCACACCACACCATTATTATTTCCAGAGACAGATTTGACTTGCAGTCCTCTTGTGTATTTTCAAAAAGTTAACTACTTACTTACTTAACTACTTACTTACTTAACTACTTACTTAACTACTTACTCTTTTTGTTCCCCCTCCTCTCTTCCTCTTTCTGTCTCTCACTTGGTTTTTAATTTTATTTTACAGGCAGGAAACATTTCTCATGCCTTAAGCCTCTCCCAAGAATTCCTCCACTACGGTATGTGCTTCTGGGTTTAAAAAGAAGAAGAAAAATGTCCAGATCTCTATATTGTCAGACTCTGTAGCATATTCCTGCTTTTCAGTCTAAACATTGCATTTAAAGAATTAAGTGTTGCATTCCTGTAAATGCCATTAGTCTTCTTCATCACATCTAGCTAGGAAATAGAATAAATAGTATATTTTCCCCCATATTTGGGTAACTGGTATCGGAGATGGAAATAATCCTTGGATAATTTTTTAAAAATCACATTTCTGTTTCGGATTAGTTTCATATGAACACGATTCCTGGTAATGACCTCACCCTCCAGTAATGTATGTTAAAATATAATCTTTCTTTTTTTGGATTTTTTTATAACAGTTTTGCCATTCTATCTGCCTCCAAACGGTCATCCTTTTGGGTTTGGACAGCTTCTGAAACCCACAGCTTGGAAGAGTTAGGTTTTGGACTACATCTCCCAGAATCCCCCAGCCAGCATGGCCATTGGGGGATTCTGGGAGTTGTGACCCAAAACCTAACAGTCACCCCTTAATTAAATAGCAATGTTTAGCAGATGGTTTTGTTTTGTTCTGTGCTGTTAGATGAAACATTTACTGGACCAAAAGTTCAATTAAAGACAGAGGAGCAGGCCAAGGCATTTTTAATGGTCAGTTGGCAACCCATCTTTTTTTTACTCAAGTAAAGGAGTGAAAGCATAAGGGAAGATGCTCCTTTACTCTTTTGATGTAATTTATAGTTGCTATTTGCTATGACTATGCACCGCGGTGTAAAAGAAAAAAGTATTTCATACTTGGTTGCCAACTTTTCTTTACTGACTCAGCTCTTGTGCTTTTAACAGCATCCTGAACTGGTGAAACATGAAAAGTTATAAGAGACACAGCTCCAAATATCTATTTATCAGACAATCGAGGAATAGAGGTGCAACAAAGGAGACTTTTAAAAGGAATGTAAAGAAAAAGAGGAAAAGAAAAGTTTATTTATCAGTATACTGAGTAACAGTTCCCGTTTCCTTTCCAAAGTTACATTTTCCAAGCATTTAAAGAAATTTTAAAAGCTTGCTACAGTTCGGGATATTCCAAATTCTTTGCTGCCTAAAGTAATGGAAAGTAACAAGTAGTGCAAGAAATAACAGAGTTACTTTCCCAGGTCTGTAACAAGTAACTACAATAGGTTACTTCTCAAACACCATAACTGATGATAGGAATGAATAATTCCTTTAAAAATTAACTTTCCAATATCAGTTTTGGAGGGGGAAAAAGTTCACTTACCCAGCTTGGAAGTAGCAAGTAATAGAGTTACTACTGGTAACTAGTTACTTTGTCAGGTAACAAGGGCATAATGAAGGCACATTTCAGAAGCAATGTCACCAGGAGGAATAATGTACTCGTACTGGAGTAACAAGTAATTTATTCTAGTTACTTTCAAACGCTATTTTTAAAGGGCATTTAAAGGCATTCTTGAAGTGTTCCTTTGTGATTCTTTTTAAGTTTCATTTTTGTTTTAAAAGAAAGTAAGAGCAACAAGAAACAAAAAGATCAAAGGTAGCAAGTTACTTTTTAAACACTGCAAGGAAGGACTATGATAGTTTCTTTTCCGGATACTGTAAGTGGAATTACTTTGCAAAAGTTTTGATTATTTTGTAAAAGCAGCATTGCTATCCAAGTGAGGGAATAAACCTCAACTATCTGTTCAGGTTTGGGCAATGGCTGCTTATGTCAGAGGGGCCTGTGAGTCCGCTCCGGGTTTTAGCCCGAACTATAAGGGTGCAATTCAAATAAGGGTTTTAAATAGGTTTTTATGGTATATGCTGGAATTTGGCTCCAGGACCTCTGTGGATACCAAAATCCATGGATGCTCAATTCCCATTACATACAACAGCAATATATATAAATATATATTGCCGTTGTATGTAATGAGAATGTATATATAAATTTAAATTTATATATAAAGCCAAAAATCAAGATTTGCTTATTGGAATTTATACTTTTTAAAAACTATTTTCTTTATTTTTTAAAAAAAAAATTATTTAAAATACCATTCAATTAACATTTCAATAAGATATGCTATTATTTACAATTTCTTCTTCCAACTCAATAAAACATATATTTTTTCCCAAGCTTCACTTCCTATGCTGGGAATGCATTATCTACTGTTTTAATCTTTGATGTTTAATACTATTTTAAGGAATGGATGGGTTTTGGGGATTGTATATTGTGATGTTTTATTGTTGTAAGCTTTCCCGATTGCATTTGCAGAGGGGCGGGATATAAATAAATAATAATAATAATAATTAGTGTTTTACTGGAAAAAATTTCAAACTTTCTCTACAGATACATATCCATATAATTCTCATTTTATATCCACAGATTAATGTCATCCATCTTTCAGTGACCATACATTAAAATTACCATTACTATTTCATTACTATTACTACTACTATTACATTACTACCTTTACCTTTACCTTTTAAATCCCCACATTGCCATTGTACCCCAGTGTTTACTTATATATTCTTATTTCATTTTGTTCTCTGTTATATAAAGCACTGTGCAAATTCTACAGCACTCTATAAATAATAATAATAATAATAATAATAATAATAATATATTCTATCACCTGCTCCTAACTTTGCACAAATTCCTCTAGTTTTTCATATTTCATAAGACATGCCATCTTATCTCATTCTGCCATTTCTATTAATTTTTCCATCCAATCCTGAACCTCTGGTATTGAATTCTCCTTCCATTTTCAAGCGATCAATATTCTTGCTGCTCCAATTTTTAAAAAATGTTTTTTCAAGCTGTGGATGGTTGAATCTGTGGATAACAAAATCCATGGATGTGGAAGGCAAACTGTATTTGTTTCTTGGTTCCAGCAGCCCAGATACCCCCTTACAGTTTAGACAGGTTGCATCTGCACTGCAGAAATAATGCAGTTTGACACTAATTTAACTGCCATGGCGCAATGCAATGGAATACTGGGATTTGTGGCTTAGTGGTTTGAGTATTGGATTATATGACTCTGGAGACCAGGGTTCGATTCCCAGCTCAGCCATTAAACCCACTGGGTGACCTTGAGCAAGTCACACTCTCTCAGCCTCAGGGGAAAGCAATGGCAAACCTCCTCTGAACAAATCTGGCTAAGAAAAACCTCATGATAAGTTTGTCTTAGGGCTGCCATTAGTCAGAAAACAACTTGAAGGTACACAACAACAAAAACAAGTGACACCAGAGCCCTCTGACAGAGCAGGTTAAATATCTCACAAAACTACATATCCCAGAATTCCATAGGATTGCACCAGGGCAGGTAAGAGCCTCATTCACACTGCATAATAACCTAGTTTTCAAACTAATTCAAACTGCTTTAAAGGGTCCTTGTGCACAATGACGGCGAATTTCTCCAGCGCGGTTTGCAGGGATGGGGCAGCGCTAACTGGTTCTTCCAAATCCGAGGCATTTAGTACATCTTTGTAAATGATTCGGTTCAACACAAGTGTGAACGCGCTGTCGATTAGATTTGGTTCCCTGTGATGCGATTATCCCTGTGACAAGATCACATGGAGAATCCATTTTGAATCAATCCAATTGTTAACGCGAACGTGATATAGGTTAAGTTGAAATGGACAGGTTCAATAGCATGAACATCTATCCGGTGTTGAATCGCTCCATCGATTCGACGCGATCCAATGCAAAAAAAATGGTTTGTTATGTAGTGTGAATGAGGCCAATGCAGTCTCAAAACTGCATTATTTCTGCAGTGCAGATGCAGCCACAAAAACCCAGAGTGGACTCACATCCTTACAACACACACACCAGCGGACCTCGATGCTCCAGCCGCCCGCCACTGGGTTTAAACTGGAAGTCTCTTTTCTTGGTCAGATCCTGGCAACAAGAGGATGGCGAGGAACATCCTGAAATACGAGAAGCTTTTAAGGGTGAACCCTGATGGTGGCGGCGAAGAGGTGGCTCTGCAGAGACCCAACGTGACCCACCTGGAGACCAGAGATACCTATGAACGGTTGTGCCAAAGCCTGGGATCGCAGGTGCGTAAGAGGAATTGGCCACTCCACCATTGGCCTTCTCACTAAGGAATCAGAAATCCCTCCAGGCTTGCTAGTCCAGTTGCAAAGAAAGTACATTGTGGCCCAGGAAAAGAACCCAACAAAATGGATTGTGGCAGGGTGCATCTACACTGTAGCAGTTGTGCAGTTTGACACCACTTTAATTGCCGTGGCTCCATGCTACAAAATCCTGGGATTTGCTTTCCGATAGTTCAGTGTACAGAAATTTTGTGTTCCATGCCCTACATTATTTAAAATATTGTGTGTGTGTGTGTGTATGCATATATACATATTTCTTTGAAATAAATATAAGCAAACAAAAACAAATTACCATAAAAAAGTCAACAACTACAACATATTTTCCCATCTAAAAACATATAAACCGAACTCATCCTTACCAATCATCTGTACAACCTTATCCTAACCATGATATGATATGATCATGTTTGTGATTGATGATATATTTCAAATCACAAATAGATATATCGTCAATTTGAAATATATTGTCAATCACAAACATGATCATATCATATCAAACAATATTGGAATAGCATGAGTAGAAATAACAAGCATCCTCCAATGGCACATTACATATTGCAGTACAGTCAAAATCCTCCCCATTTTCCCATCCGTTCCCTTCTTATACTTTTTATACCTCCTTTGCCTCAATTCTCTCCTTCGATCCCTCTTCTCCCTTCAACTCAAACTTCCCTTATTGCTACACTCACTATATCTTCATATCTATACTTACGACTTGAAGGCACGCAACAACAACGACAGTCCAAAAAGCCAAGGCTTTTCCAAGTCTTGGAGCAAGAGTTGTATATCTGGAAAGTAGGGATAACAAAAATTCTGGTCCTTTTCCAGCCAAGCCATTATGAGCTGCCCAACCTCTACTGCTCCTACGAGACGAACGGAGACCCGCTCCTCATTCTCCAGCCCTTGAAGAGGGAAATTGTCCACCTGAGACCCTACCTGGCCCTCTACCACGACTTTGTCAGCGATTCTGAAGCGGAGAAGATCAAGGCGTTGGCTGCCCCATGGGTAAGAAGGGCATGGGTATGGGTATGGGTATGGGCATGGGCATGGGCATGGGCATGGGCATGGGCATGGGCATGGGCATGGGCATGGGTAGGGGATGGTTCTTCGTTGCCAGGTGCCTTGCAACCAACTCCAACTCATGGAAGCCCTTTATTGTTGTTCACGGCGATCAAGTTGACTTCGACTTATGGCGACCTCTAAGTCTCCCTATCTTCCAAAGCCTTGCTCAGATCTTGCAAACGCAGGGCCCTGGCATCCCTGATGGAGTCCATCCACCTGGAATAGGGTCTTCCTCCATTCCTGCTCCAGTCTAACTTCCCAAGCATTATGGTCTTTTCTAAGAACTCTTGTCTTCTCATGTTGTGTCCAAAGTATGACAGTCTCTGGACTTTATCACATGGGGGCCAGTCCCATC